GTTCAGTCGTTCAGCAAGCCTGTATGGGCACACCCAACACAATGTTGGCATGCACTCCTCACAAAATGGCAGGCCATACTAGAATAATAGTACTAAAAAGATTTTTTTTGACTAATTGCTGGCTGCCCTGCCCACTCACTCACTCACCATTCCTGAATCCTGATAGACACTTCAACAAATCTCTCCCCCCACCCCCCCATTCTACTTTTCTTTAATCCCCTGATGATGACCGTCAAATCAAGCTTGGGAAAAAAAATCAGCTCTTTTTGCATGATGCTGATGTTACTGGTAAAACCACCTAGCTGAGCCTGTCAGCCTGAGATGGATACGTCATTACAACAACTAACCCTTGCATGCATGAAGAAATGGGCCTGGACCCTTGCTTGGTTCACCAAACTAGCAAGTGGCAGCAGGCCTGCATCGTTACCAAGCAAACAGAAGCGAGCGTGCAGAGGGACACAGCAGGTACATGCACGGCACAGTCGTAAGGATCCCGTCCATGCCCAAATCAGGACCAACAGTGCCTGCGAGATTCTCAGAAAGATCGCATGCCTGCCTGCACGGCTACGGTGCTACCAGTGTCCTTCAGTACTGCACAGTACACCAGCAGGCGGTAGTAATAGACAGGCGGCGACAAGCAAACAGACAGGCATGAACGCAGCACACCTAAGTGAACTGATGATGAAGCTGCCCAACAGAAGCTGCGTCGTCGTCGTCCCTCCAATCTTGCCAGCTAACCATGCGTGCGTTCTTCAGAGTTGCAGTTCAGTGCCCTGCTCCTGCAGATCACTGACGGGCAAGCAAGCTAGCTAGCTAGCTAGGTGAATGTGAAACTCCGGCGGTTAGATCAATGCACTAGATCGTTTTCAGATTCATTGACGGATGCAAGGCGCACGGGTAGGATCGAGGTGCATGCGGCTGGTTGGGACGTACAAATCAGGGTGGATCCTTGGGATCCATGGACCGATCGAACGGTAGACAACTGGAAACACTGGTGTCTGGTGTCGACAGCGAGTGCGCCGTCGCCGTCGCCGAGAAAGGCGGCACTTGCGGCCGCGGCGACAGTGACACCGCGTGCATGCAGATGCTTGAGGGGAGGCTTCTTCGATGGATGCGTTGGAGAATTGGAGCATCGTCCATTCTAGCTGACGGGTAAGAGTACCAAGAAAGCTTAGGTAGCTAGGCAGCTAGCTGCAGGTGGCCTGAAGCAGGCTTCCGTCGGGAGCAGAGGAAGGTTTCCTGTAAATCCCTGCAGAGCTCCTGCCTACTGAACTCTGATGAAGAGGCCTCGCCGGTCGGTCCAACAATCCACCGGCCGTATGCTCGCTTTGCTTTGCATTGCAGCGATTCAGACGCCAGAGAACGCACCAGCTGGTGGTGAACTGCTGGCTACTGAACTCTGAAGAGGCGCGCGTGCATTCTGAATAGCTTATGAACCGAACTGAATACAGAGCACAGGCACGCAGCCTGACGCCTGAGCTTACCGACCACCACCGGCTGTTCGGAGTTGGAACCTCCAGGGCACGCACGCACGCAGTAGGGTATGCTACAATGCTACTGGTACGTGTGGCCTCCTCGACCGATCGGCGACGCATGCATGCCCACGTCGACGGCGACGTCTGAGCTTCCACATGGCCGAACGAACTCACTCACTCACCCTCGACCGGTGGCTCGTCGCCGACGACGTTGACGCGAATCATTGCAGGTGAGTGAGAGAGTGAGACAGCAAGTCGCATCACATCGCAGGGCGGGCGGTCGTACGCCACGACGCCCACACGCGCTCGTGTGCGCGCCGCACGCCGCGACGGTCGCCACCTCGCAAGTACACTCATAGATGCATGGCGTATCCTCTGATCTACCTGCAGCTAGGACGACTAGGCCATCATTATCCACCAATGCACGAACTGATCATGATTAAACAAATGAATGAAGCCATCCCCAACTAATCGCGTGACTAATCATGCGTCGTCTGCTCGCCATGGACGGCGGAAGCAAGCATGCATCGAGACGTGACTCACAGGTCACATGATTGATTGGAGTTTGGAGGCGGGCAGGCGGCAGGGCGATCTTGTTAAGGTTCCTCTTGTCCTTGCAGGCGACCAGGCTGGAAGAACAGGACCATGCATGGATTGATCCATCCGTCCATGGCGAGAGCGAGCGAACTCGACAGGAGCCTAGGCTAGGCCGGTGGTTGGCATCTCCAGGGAGACACCATTGATCCACTTGTTTTCCTTTGCAGAGTTGTAGATTTGCAGTGTCCTCTCTCCATGTCAAACGATAAAGCTCTGTAAATTAGTAATGCAGGGGTTTGGTTTCCCATTCTTGCGAGAGCAGAACCGTGTCGTCATAGAAATTCCAGCGAAAACCAGTGGACAATTCCCAGGTTTTTGTTACACTTTCTTATAACAAGGTATTCTTCGTTCGCCGCCAGCAGGGGATTAGTCCTCTTTATTCAGATTCCAATCAAATTTACCCAGATGCAAGGAAATGTAAATATTGAGGGCCAGGAAATGGGTTAAATTTTGTTCATCAGAGGACAATTTCATGTGTTATGTCCCATATCCCCTAATAGTATTTGCCTGTTGGAATGGTGTAGTTTTAGAAAATTACTGTATCAAGCAATTATGGTTTTATATATATAAGCCGAAGACATACAAACCCCATGGTTTAGAAAACTACGGTATCAGAAAACTACCGTTTACCTGCAGTTTTTTGGGATAGTAATAAAAGATGTGTACTCATATTGAATGATTTTTTAGTATATGTGCAAGACAAAAATGCCTCTTAATTTCAAAAGCAGGGAGTAAACGGTAGATTATGTCGAGTAAACGTAAAAAAATATGTCGGCAGCCCAAAACTTTAGAGTCACGAGTCACCATTGATAGTCATAACTCATATGGACCGTTGCAATGCCCAGACAAGGCATAATCTTGCACAGTGCACAACCACTCATGAAGACGCCTAGAGGACAGTCCAGGACACTAGAGAACAGTGAACTACAGCAATTGTACTGCCACACCTATGGCTTCAGATTCCTTTACTGGACACTGTAGCTTGTGATTAGAAAATAGTTTAAGTTCACAAAATGGTCCCAGCAGAATATTATGCCGTTCATTTCGACCATAGAAAATGGCACAAAGATAAAAAAATATATTGACAGGAAGATGACAAACTAGGCTCACTTCTGCTAACGCTCTTGACGCTACAAATAGTCATGAATATTAGCATTGTTGACTAGGAATTATGCTATGCTCGTCGACTCTGACAGGGAGCATGGGTTAACAGTAAGTAACTGTGCTGAATATGGAACATGCATGCTGATATGCCAAGTTTCAGTTCACAAAATGGTCCCACCAGAATATTATGCCGTTCATTTCGACCATAGAAAATGGCACAAAGTTAAAAAATATATTGACAGGAAGATGACAAACTAGGCTCACTTCTGCTAACGCTCTTGACGCTACAAATAGTCATGAACATTAGCATCGTTGACTAGGAATTATGCTATGCTCGTCGACTCTGACAGGGAGCATGGGTTAACAGTAAGTAACTGTGCTGGAGCATGGGTTAACAGTAAGTAACTGTGCTGGGTTAACAGTAAGTAACTGTGAGCTGTTAACCCATGCTCTCTGTCAGAGTCGACGAGCATAGCATAATTCCTAGTCAACAATGCTAATGTTCATGACTATTTGTAGCGTCAAGAGCGTTAGCAGAAGTGAGCCTATTTTGTCCTTACTCTCTTTCATTGTGGCAGATCCATCATCATATAAAAAAAAGAAATTGAAGAACCATAAGGTTAACAATAAAGACATACCATTTTCATACATAGAAAAGAACGGCAATGGCGATATAGGATCAGATAGAGAACAGGTCACATTAGTAATGTTCTCTTATGAGCCTAATGGTACTACAATTCATAGAATATACACAGTGAACTGCATATTAGTACATCATTTGCAAACCTAAGGCTGCCACCTCAATGTGAATACAAAGTTACACATCCAATTTGTCAAGCAGTTGCTGAAAGATTCCATTCCAACATCTTCCTTACAATCAGGTGCGCTAACATTGCTAAATTAGATGTGCCTAAACTGCTGTCCAGGGACTGAACATAGAAGATAAGTAAAAGTTCATCACCAGTTACCCACCAGCATAATCATCGAAAAACAAGAAGTTTTACTGACCAGAAAAGGCTTTCGATAGCTGGGGCATTCCTTCTATCATGGTTAACTGCCTTCTCAGCTTGGCTATGTGAGCCTGCACCTAGAGGACGAAAATAATCCAATGTCAAATAACTGGATGTTGTTTTCCCAAGTGTTAAGGAAAACATCATTAAACGCTCGCTTAGGTGTGCTTAAGCACTAGGTGGAGACCTAGCACCGCCTAGGCCCTAGGTGTCCAATTAAACGTGGCATGAACTGTCAGGACCCATAGATGGTGAAGAAAGGAAGAGGATTACAAGGTTAGGATGGCAAAATGGTTTGTTGTATTATGATTCCATCTATGCCTACCTCGTGGTGTCTAAGTTGCTCGATTTGCTCACCCTCTGCTCGATTTAGCCCCTTTTGCTCGATTTCGCTCACCCTCACATGTGCAGCAGAAGCAGGGGTGCCATGGAAAGGGGAGAGGACGGGGTGTGTGCGGATGGAGTAGTGGTGGGGGCGCACAGGCGGAGAGAGCGGAGCGACAGATGGGGGCGCACAGGCGGAGGAGAGGCGGCGCAGCTGCATGAGAACCAGGATTGTCTACTGGTAGGGCATTTTTGGGTGTTATGGTGTCTAGATGGGCTAGTGGGCTTCCTCCTCTAGTGGGCTCAGTGGGCTGTTATGGCATTGCTCTTCCTTTCCTATTTATTGTCACATTTATGCAACTAAATCTCTTGATATGTAGCTAGTGTGTAAACACTTAATCACGCTTAATCTATGTTTAGACTACCTAGGCGCTAATCGGTGGCTTAGCACCTTTTTGAACCTTGGTTTTCCCCATTCCATTATTTATGTTCATTCATACCCAAGGAGAGCAGTATACAAACTTTTTTGAGCAAGATTGGAAAACTAATCAAATAGATGAAATGAAAGCTACATCAACACTAGCACCCACCCGATGCGAAATTTTCCAGTCTTGTTTGCTCACAATAGTGCAACATGCATATTAGAAGGAACAAACAGTAGAAAACTAGGCACTGGGAGTTTTCTGCCGTTTATGAGAGGAAAATTTCAACTTGCATCCCTCAACTCTATCATGGATATAGTTGCCAAACAGAAATAAACTGAAAAAACTCTCCATGAACCAATAGAATAATTTCACTAGATTTTACAGATTTCATATAAAAGTGTTAGCGTTCAAGCAGTAACCTTAGCACATATATGCACATCAGAAAAATAAGGACAGTTGCTGCTAGCCAAGTCTCACCTGTTGCCGAGCTGCAGCTAGTTTCAACAGCTCATCAGCTTCAGAGAAATTCGAGAACCACTGACTCAAAGGATGATCCTTAGTGTCACCACGCTTCTTTTCATATGGGACAATTTCCATAGTGCCTAGATGATTGGAAGTTACATAGTGCTACTTCGGCATTTCCTATTGTGAAATATAATGCACACAGGTTGTAAAGAAACATACCCGGGGGAGGCAGGGTTATACCAGGAGGAAGCCTGGGCACATTAGCTGCTGGATGATTCTGCACACGTTGGAAAAAGGCCTCTGTAGGCTCGGGGAAGACAATCTCATCGTATGTTTCCACGACAACAGGCTTTTTGGTTGATTGAGGTCCAGCTTCTTCTTCTGGATACAGCTTAAGCTGATGAAACCTACATCACGTGCACGATTAACTACCCTCTTGCCCACCAAAATAAACAAATCTGAAAAACAAGACCAGCAGGACTTACAGATCCAAGCGCTTGTCACAGACATCACTGTGGAAATAAAGGGTTATTGCTATCTCAAACTCTCCCCATCCCGATTCAGACAGCTCAAAAGGCGGTTGCTCCACGACTCTTGTTGGGTTTTGGAAACTTGGGTGAAGCTGAAACACCACACGCTTAACTATGACACTCAGATCCTCATTGTTTGCAGAACGGACATATACAGTCCACTTGTGGGAGTTGTACCTACATACAAAGGCAGGGGGAAACAGTTGGCCATTACGTTGAATTCCCTGTAGTAAGAATCCACAGGCTAAATCCGTATCAAGAGCACGACGAATTTCCGTATTTTGTGAATCAGAAACTTACTCGCTGGCCTTTTTACCGAGCCAGAAAGAAATGGTTCCATAAACGATAGGGAAACTGATCTCCACATCCTTGAGCCTTTTATTCTGTTGGAATAATTCCAGTATGTATGAACTATCAGAGCTTATGCTAATAATCAATAAGGTCTACCAACTGATAAGCACGCACAGTACACACGACAGGGGTGAATCCAGTGGACATGGGTGTTCACACCCGATAATTTTTGGCAAAAATAAACAAACAATCGAAGTTAGTACTTAGTAGGCATAACACTACATGTACACTACATACGCTTGTAATTAGATTAGATCCGAATACAAATAGCTTAACTTAGGGTTTGGGAGCTCGGTTTCGCATAACAGGAAGGGAAGAGAAGGTGGTAGGCGTACTTGGGTGCTCATCGCCGGCGAAGGGCCCGAGGAAGACGACCCGACAATGACCTGGGCACCTGGCGTAGGGCGGCGGCGGCGGTCGCCCAGTCGTCGCCACGGGAGAGAGAGAGAGAGAGAGAGAGCGCAGCGCGGGGGGAACGCCGGAACTGGAGTTGGGAGAACAAAGAGAAAAAGTACGCGGGGGAAAAAAGAAAACGGATGACCATACTGGGCCCTTACAAGGCCTACAAGGCCTGATTGGCATAGCAGCCCAGCCAGGCCTGCAATCGCCTCGTCCTCACGCTGGTGCATCGGAGGCGGACGCGAAGGCGAGAAGGGCCTCCGAATGGGTAACGCTACAAACAGAACGTCTGACGCAGCTACTACCTCCGAACTGACGCGTAGCATGATATGTACCGCAACTTTTGCCTCTCTTTTTTTTTTATTCCTGCTCATTTAGATGTCTCTTATTCTCGTTCAGACGCCGCGCCTCATTCCGCTTGCTGCTGCTGTGGCGTTCTCCCACCGCGCCCCGACCCTGCGCCGCTCGCTCGCTCGCTCCCACGCCATCGCGCTCTCCACCTACGCCACCCGCACCTCGCTCCTCCCTTCGGTCGTGCGCCGCGTCACCCGCTAGCGCTGGATGGTGGTGGTGGTGCTCGCGCGCCGCCTCTTGCCGTCGGATCCCACCCTAATGACCAGAATCGACCGACCCTAGGCTTCCTCTATGTTATAAACGTATGTTTCGTGCTTGAAATGTTTGAGAGGTATATTACAATTATTACATATGGTTATTGCAAAAGTACGTCGGGATATTGCACATATTGCATATTTTTGCAAGTGTTTTCAGTGTTATGTTGCAAGCGTTTTGAAACATGTTTTTAGACGTATGTTGCAACAAGTGTTTTATCTGGATATTACATATGTTTCACACATATGTTGCAAATGTTTTATCTGGATGTATATGTTTCACACACATGTTGCAAGTGTTTTATCTAGATGTTGTATATGTTTCACACATATATGTTGCACCAGTATATTTCAAATGTTTCATTTGTGTCTGACGCATATTGCATCTAAGTGTTTCGTGTTGCAAGTGTTTACACGGGGGCACGGTGAGTGATGGCACACTGCCCAGGCGTCGGGGGATGGTCCGCAACAAAGTTGGGTACCGACAGGCGGGGGTGCAGTCTCGATGGGGTCGGCTCCCAAGTCCCACCCACGCGGGGGGTCCGATGGAAGGAGCGTGGCGCAGTGACTGGGCAGGGTGCCCGTGTGAGCGGGGGCGAGGCGGACGGGAGCGGGCTGTGCGGCCGTCCATCCTGACACAAGGAGCGGCGGGCGCAGGTCGCCAGTGGTCCCATGGGCGCGGGCCCTCGGGTGGGCGCGTGAAAAGTAGGCACGGGTGGGGGGCGCAGAGTGCATGCGCGCGCCGGAAACGAATTGGCCTGGTCCATTTTACCGTTCGATGTATGAATAACCGATCGGACCTCCGGCCACCAGCAGTTCCGCCTCCAAATCGATCATCCCGTGCATCTCACACAACCCGGTCCTCTCCACAACTCCGGCGAGCTAATTTTCCTTTAAATAAAAACTCGGGCGAGCTACTGCCTGATTCTCATCGTGCTTGGCGCTAGCTGCTGCTGGTCCCTTCCGTCGTGCTCAGGTGCCGATTTGATCGATCGGTGCCCCTCGGTGTGCAAGGGCATACGCCTGCATTTCTCTTTGTTGGCGGTGTGCGGGGTCGCGCGTGGTGGACACTGGTGGTCGCTGTGACGCGCACGTGCAATGAATCCTCAGTCGGTCGAATTTTTGTTAATTAAGCATCAAAAGACAGGCTTTAGAGGCTGTTTGGTTGCCGGCCGTCCTTCGCCACGCCACAATGATGGCAGCCACAGCACATAGACAGTGTTTGGTTCACGCCACCGCCGCACTCTTTTCTACGCGCTTTTCCGTGGCGAGTGTGGCGGAGATTTTCTTCGCCACAAACTGTGGCGCAGCTTCCGTGGCGGTGGCAGGCGCTGGCAGCCTCTTAGTACGTTCTATGTCTCGACGATCGTTGGTCATCCTCATCCATGGTAGTATTTAGCATAAATAGTATTGCTGATACAATAGCATTCTTAACAAAGTAAGCACCACGATTAAGCGCAAAGAGCACATTACGTCAAGTTCTCTCAGTCAGCGCTCGTCATCCAACGTAGTGACATTTTAGTACGTACGGAGTATAATATATATATATAGTAACTCCACACAAGATGCATCCTCAGTAAAGTCGAAAAAGGTCTTCGACATTCTCACGATCACCACCACCACCATCAACTCAATCGGTAGACGCGGTACAGGGTCTAATACTTTGCACAAGAGCATACTCGGCTTTCATTTAGTAGCACACCACTTTCCACCGGCGCCGCGGTCATCACAATGAGGATGAGGGAGGCCCGCAACCGTGCGTAAACGAGGAAGGGTTGCCGACGTTCAGCTACCCACAGGTCCTTGCCAGCTGCACCACCATATTCTCGGCAAGTAGCAGCAGCATGCATGGTGAACACCATAACTGGTGGGAAGGGCGGGCTCCTTCCTATCAGCAGCTCCCTATGCCAGCGCACAGCAAGGCCACGGCGGGTGACCGAGGGAATAATGGGGCACAAAAGATGAAGTGGAGGACAGTTAGCCGCAGCCCGCAGGGGAGGAGATGATGAGGAGCTTGCACCCCCAAAAAAATTGTGAGTTTACTTATGAGTCTTTGAAAACACCTGACCAACTGCAAACACGTACTGAAAACTCTGTTGTATAGTAACTTTGCGGCCTTAGTTCGGCATTGAGTTGTCGGCTTGCCACCCCTAATAATGTGAAACAAAATTAGACAAAACTGTGTAATATATATATAGAAAAAAAACATGGTGATAATTGAAACCCATATTGACCTATCTTAGTTTTTTTTTTTTTTTGGGGGGCGAAGTATCAGGTGTCAGCACTGAGCAGAATGACACATCGCATACAGATTGTGCTGGCGATATTGGAGCCAACAGGCTAACCAACACAAAGGTTCTATCTTGTTTTATCTTGTGAAGAGATTTAATTTTGAGTGAAAAGATTGAAAAATATGACCGGCACGTCCATGACAACTTGTATCTGCTAAATGATGAGCCAATGTCTCCAGTGCAATGCAACATGGTGGCGGAGAGGCTCGGCGATATTACCTGATCGACTAGGGCTTCTAATTAAGTATGTCATATGCTATTTTGGTCATTTGGCACTTGAGTTTTTGCACCTCATTTGGTTCTGTAGTCTGCGGGCTTGTGCATGTACTTGGCGTATTGCATTATATATGCATGCAGTGAATAATTATATTAGCTTTGGTTTGTTGGTTGGTGTCAATATAATGTTGGGAAAGGATTGGATTTGGTGTTTATATATGCTTGGCATCGCCTCGTATCAAACTCAGCTGCTGTTTCACTAAGTAATGTACGTGTGTGCATTTCCCTCGGACTCCGCTGCTCTGTGACTGAACGGAGACTACTGCAACACGATGAACACTACTAAAATTAACACACAGGACTAGTGACAACTGAGAAATTTAAGATAAGAGTCATCATCATACAACGTACTGCTGCAGCGCGTGATGACTCGCCACGCTCCACATATCTGTGAGCATGGTCGGCCTGCAGCAGCCGTGCTCGCCGTCGACACTACGGCGTCCTCCGGCTCTTCAAGCACCGGAGTCAGCTTTGGCGGGTAGATAGGGCACCGGGACCGCCAGCTGACGTGACCGCTTGTATGGGTGGAAGAGCATGGCGGTGGCGGAGATGGCAGCCTCCGGCAAGGCGATGAAGGTGCTGGAGGGGGAAAGTAAACTTTGCCCTTAGGGGCATGTGCCCTCGCATTGCGAACCGTTGGATTTGCACTATTGTCTCGCTCCTGTGCACGCATCCTAGTGCGAATCCAACGCTTCGCAATGCGAGGGCACACGCCCTCGAGGGCAAAAAAAACTGTGTTCGTGTTGGAGGGCATTGTCAGCTATCTCCTTTATGTTGCTAGATAGATTTGTGGATGTGGTGATGGTTGTTGTCTCCAACATTGAGACTCTCTCTCTAGCTGTGCACTCAGCTCCCTCTCGAGAACACCCTCTCCCTGCTTGCCAATAGTTGCTCCCTCGCCCTCCGGCTGGTCTCCTCCACCGTGCCCAGCACACTGATTCTCCCTCAAAGTCACGGTGGCATGTGAGGAAGCTAGCTGCTGGTTCAGATCACTCACCTGTTCCTCTAAATTGGCTACTTCCTCATTCTTAACCCCTCTTCTTTTTAGGTGATAGATAGATGTGCACAGCATATGCTGCTAACACTCCTAAAACCAGCATAGAAAGGAAAGTAGGACCTACGAAGAGAAGGGCAATTGAAAGCCTGTGGAGAAAAGGGAGCTGTGCAAAGTTCTTGCAGGCCCTAAACTTCCGAGGGGCAGGGAGACGACGACTGGCTGATATTTATAGTACCGCGGGTGTTGCGTTCATGCACGCACTGGCTTCGCGCGCGCCCAAGAGCATGGACGCTGATATAGAGAGATCGAGAGAGAGAGAGAGAGAGAGAGAGAGGCGGCCTGCATGTGCATGGGCAGGGCACGCTTTAAAGCGTTCGGTGAGAAATTTAGCTTCGGACAGGCAGCGAGCTGAGGCTGTCTAGCTGCAATTCATTTCACAAAATTTTTCAAAATTCTCCGTCACATCAAATCTTTGGACGCATGCATAAAGTATTAAATATAAATAAAAAATAAAACTAATTACACAGTTTAGACGAAATTCACGAGACGATTCTTTTAAGTCTAATTAGACTATGATTAGACACTAATCGTCAAATAACAACGAAAGTACTACGGTACCCTCTCATCAAAAATTTTGCCTACTAAACACAGCCACATGAGCGCAGGCGACGCGGGCTCCGATTGAGCTCAACCCGGCGTCAGGGTGACGTGGAGCCCCTGTGGTTCTCCTGATCTTATTAAATACCTATTAAGTCAGGCTGGGCTTCCACACTTCGACCAGAGCCTGGAGGTACTATCAACGACAGAACACAATAATGCATGCATGTGGACGACCAGCAAATCTTCTGTACACAGCCTTGATCCACGGCCACCGCTGTGCTACATCGAGTTTGATTGTTAAACAGACCGTTGGCACGTTGGTTTCAACCAGGACTTATGAGTTAGTTAATAGTGTTTTTCTCACACAACAAATCAGCACTAGCCAGACTTATTAGCCCAGAAACCAATCAACGAACAGGTCGAAAATCGACAAAGCTCACCAATCGTGAGCTTACTCATATATCTTGCTTTTTTAAATCGATAAAGCATTAATCTGTGAGAATAACATAACAAAAGTATATTTGTCAGTACCAAGGCAGAAAGAAGTGGTCGCAAAATTCTCAATCATACGCAACATAATGGGGATAGTTTACCAGGTTGAATGGTTGGTCTCGGACTAGTAAAAACTGAGAGCGGTAGAGACAAGTGAAGAAATCCCAAGTGAATGAGAGAGCCAGAGAGGCAATGCATGGACAACGGGACTACTAGCGTCTGGACGTCGGTGCCCGCACCAGTTTCCTACGCCTGCACTTGGCACGCCCACGCGGGGGCCGCGACACCTGGACCCCATGCACCACCCGCCCGCCCGACAACACGCGGAGACCGCTCGTGCCTTGTACGCTTTCCACACGTATGCAGGCGGGGACAGTCTGGTTCGCTCGGCGACGCCCGTCAGCTACAACAAACGACTGCGGCAAGTTATCCATTGCAATATGTGCAACACCATATCTACTTTTGCAATATCCAGATGAAACACTTGCAACATAGCCCGAAAACAGTTGAAACATTTGCAACATACGCCTGAAACACTTGCAAAACACCTGAAAACACTTGAAAGACATTGCAACACATGCAACATCCACATAAAACACTTGTAACATACGTATGAAACTCCTGAAACACTTAAAACAGGCGCTTGCAACATGCATGTTATGCAACATCCAGATGAAAATACTTGAAACATACGTCTGAAACAACTGAAACACTTTAAAACATATACTTGCAACGTGCATATATGGCTATTGCAACATACGCAACATCCTGATGAAACACTAGAAAACATACTTCTGAAACACCTAAAACACTTGGAACACGCACGTTGCCAGCGTCCACAGCTTACCTGGTAGGGAACTGTAGTAGCCAACAAGCGGCGCTCGGGTGCAGTGGAGAGGGAGGATGGTGGCAGGCAAGCGGCCGGGCATGGTGAAGAACATCGCACCAATGCAATTCGCCGTGGACCACGTCGCGTCGGCTCGGGGAACTTGGCGGCGAGTGGTGAGTGGTGGTGGGGAGATAGGAAGGCAGGCGGCAGCGCTCGAGCGTGGTGGAGCACGCCACGGCGGCGATTCGAGAGTGGGTTCGAGAATGGATGCGGGCACAGCGGCGATTCGAGAGGAAAGTGAGAGCGGAGACTTTTTATTTTGAGCAACACGAGATGGGTGCTCCCGTGTAGACGGTGGTGTTGGGCCGTTCGGACGGGCATCAAGGCCTACCAACACGCGTCCGGACGAAACGGACGCCCTACCCACACACATTTTCGCATGGACAAAGAAGCGCCTTGGGCGGCTGGGAGCTGTCGAGCTGTAAAGTTATGGTGGCAACTGGAGTGGGGCTCAAGCGGGCCCGGCCCATAAAGCAGGAGGTGGGCTCTTGTTGGTCCTAACAAGGCCATTAATTTCTCCACCACAAATTTGGGCTGGGTTTGGGTTGCTCTGTCAAGACAGCCTATTTCCCAATTCCAACAAAAAAAAGTTATTTTCTAAATTTTTTTACTGTTTCTAATAAACAAAAAAAGTTACTACTACTGTGGCTATTTTCTCGTTCAATCAGCACGAAAGAAAGAAAATGGAAGGCAACGTAAAACAATAGAGGGAGAACTGTGGTTTTCCGTTGGCACTTGGCAGGCCATGGACGGACATGAGAACTCACACACAGGCAACGGACTCAGTTCTGTTCACCACCAACACCATGCCTTTGCTTTGATTTACCAACCAACTGCTTGGCCTTATTATCCGATAATGGAACAGCGAAGTAGCTCTCCAGCAATGCACGCCACTCAACTCACCTAACTTACGTCCGTACCCTTGCTGGCTGCAAAACCTGATCGCTTGCTCGTAAACGATCGTAAATTTCCAGCTAGAAATAGTATTTTTCTCTCACACCAAACCAGCGAACAGTAAATAATTCACGATACGATACGGCCTCCCGATCAGGCTGAAAGCCTGCAGCCGCATCCGCATGGCCCATCCATCTCTGATCCGCCGGCCGCCCGGAAAGGGACTGGACCGTGAGCAGGACCGATCCGTCCCCGTCGGCCACGAACCGTCGTCGTCGTGGCTGCCTGCGCCGCGCCCGCCGCCCCGAGCCCCCGACATGCCACGCGCCAAGCAACGTGCGCCCAACCCGCGGGCCAGACCACCCAGGGGGTCGTCGCTTCAGCAGCTGAATTGGAGACTGCGCCTGATGACACTTAATTAATGGAACTAGCTTGAAATTCAGATACAGTCTTTTTATACCTGTACTGCAAATCTCAACTGAAATCTGAAAGGCTTTCGGACATACGATTCCCCTCTGTTCATACATTTTCCAGACACCAGGGCTTCGGACATGCGAGTAATGCGACAGCGTCGTTGCCAGGGGGCCACCAGTCCACCACACCAGGGCTTTTGAGGTGTTGGCCATGGACCAGAGCGTAGATCTGATCTGACCTGCCAAACGCCAGCAGCCAATAGCTATCATGAGATCTGGGATGCGATGCCGAAGTGGACTAGAGATGGTTATGGTTACACGATCAGGTTATGGGTCTCTCTGATGAGTCTGATTACGGCTGCACTCTCTACAGGTTGGGATATCATATCAGCAGAGGCAAGCAGCCAGGGAATGTCATGCTCATGCTGGGTTGCTGGCTGTAGGTTTCTCTTTCCTGTCCCATCTGCACTGCACCGAGGCCCACACGATCCCTGCTCTTCATGTGCCAAAGGCCATGCACCTGCCACTGGGCAACTGGCAGTATCTTTCTTTCACGAGTTCGACATGACCACATCTCTCCAATGCCTGTATCTCCAGTGCTCGCAATGCAGAGGGATCGGGGCAACGGTAAACCGGAGTCATTTTTATGCCGCGCTGTGGCGGCTGCCCTGCCCATGCGATCCGCTCGCCTGCCTGCTTCGCCATGTGATCAGCTCGAGTACACGCACATGTGCAATTCTGTGTTGAAAAGCTCGGTACTCGGCCATGGATGGATGGATTCATGGCGTGTTCATCCTTCTTCCTCCTTGACCTTTTCATGCCTGCCTTTTCCAGATCCGACCGGGCACGTGTGCATGCACGGTGGAGTGTGCTCTCCCGCTTCTGCCTCGCCGCACGATCATTGTTCTTGGATTCCAGGAGATCTCGCCATCGCCAAAGCCGTTTCTTCATGAATCATGATCAATTATGTACATCAGGAGGCAGCTGATGCTGCACCTCATCTGCTAATCCTGCCATCTTTGTCTTAGTGTCAGAATTGTGTACCCACGAACCATACATAGGACAGACAGACAGGCCCGCCTGCATGCAGCTAGAATTTGTCCAAGCCAAGACAGTCTCACTTCAGCAATCCGCCAATCCGGGTGCTGCCAATTTTCAGCGGAGGCACACGGACAGGGATGGATCCAAGGCAGCCTCTGGTTTTGGCCTCAATCTTGCTCTGCCTGTCTCTGCCCTGTAGCTAGCTAAACAGCGCATCGAGCAATGAGCCAGGAAGAATCCAAGGAGAGAACAACAATCTGCGCTGCACGTAGAGACACAACCTAGCAGCAGCGCTAGATGCGGATGCTCCGGGCTCCGGCCTTTACGTCCGTCCGAGAAAGTACAAGCACGATATATATACGCATTATGCGCTGAAGTCAGAAGATGCTAGCTTAATCTTTTTTTTTTTTCCTTCTGATTTTAAGTGAGGTAGCCAGAGAGCATTTTCTTGTTGTTTCATGCAGGGCACTTCAGCTCTGGATTCTTATCAGAAGAAAACCAGATGGAGCTTCAATTTGGAAGCTGTCAACAAATAAATACTGATATTGGCCCTATTTGTTTCGCTGAAAAGCCAGACTGAAAAATACTATTCGCTAATTTGTCGTGAGAGACCAATAAGTTTAAGCGAACAGGGACCAATGCAGTCATCTTGCATGCATGTAGTTTTAGGAGGAATAATCAATTCCATCATTGTGTAAGAACATCTGTCTACGCCTTTTACGGAAGATCGATCATCGCGCATTAGCTTGCAGAAAATCATGGAATAATTCATTCATTCATTCATGGCATGAAAAAAGCAGGCGATCATTCTTCTATCTCAAGCTCCTCTGACCCTACGCTGGTCTCTGGTCGCCCCAACCACCGGACGTACAGAGAAGCTAGCCCAACTCCGATCCACTAAGCAAGTAAGCATTGCTTCAAAAGCTAAGTCCTTTTCAGCTCCCGGCGAATTGAATCATGGTTCTTCAGAAAAGGGAACCGGTTTTGTTTTTACCTTCAAGAGAGGTTAACTTGAACCTAACCACAAAGTAGCCTAGTCCCTAGATGTATAAAACTACAGGGAATCAGGCCATTAGGGACTAGCCTAGGTTTATGGTGTAATCAGTAGTACGTGCTTAAAGAAGCACACGTGACCTTGACGTGGGCATGAAAAATGATCTTGCACGGTAAGCATATAATCGTTACAGGGACCGACGAACTCAAAGGCGAAAGGGATGTCCTGTTGCGTTCACCCTTCAACATCTGAAGCTCCTCCTCTCTCTTTCATGGGAGACACTTGAGTCTCTTTACAGCACCATGGGCGACTGAACAACTTACCTGTAAGTCTTTCATGATGTAGTAGTACGGATGATAGGTGTCTCAGCTACCGACTGAACAACTGTACGTAGTAAGTCTTTCATCAGTGTGATATTAGTACGGATGATAGATGTCTCAGGTCTATACTAGTACAGTACATTGCAAGCCAAGAAAGGGCGGTTACAGGCTCTAGCTCAAGGCTGTCTACCTGCCCTATCTCGGCTACCAAATTCCTCCGTGGTTTTGACGACACAACGGGGATTCATGAAGGACGGACAATAGGATCAAATTCAGGGTTTGTTCCGACGAACCGAACCTCAAAAAGGAAAGAGAATGATTTATTCAAACTCTATTCACTTGGTGGGTTTTCGAAAGTTGAAAACACCGTTTTGGTCTTTGAATTTGTTGTGAGAAAAAATCACCTTTTAAAAAGCCCTGCAATGAAACCAACAAGCCGAAGTTTGAACTCCTCGAGAAACAGTAACGATTGAAACCAGTAGACCGATTGAAACATGGCACCAACTGGATTGAAACAGACACGGTCGCTATTTCTTTTCCACAAGGCCAGCGTAGAAATGATCGAGTGGATGATACTGATATGGCTGCAACGATATAGCTGAGAACTGCAAATCCCATGCTTTGCTCTGTTATTAGTCCAACAAAACACATGCTGCCATGACAGGTGACATTCCATAAATCTTTGATTGACAACTTAATAATAAAGTAAGTAAAGAACGTATTTACTCCATCAATTAGCAGTAGTGACGTGCGTTTTCCAAAAAAGAGTTTACTACAACACCTGCAAAAGGAATCTCAAAAAAAAAAAAGTTGCTCCAATTTTCGAACCATTCCCCCTCCATTGAAACCCCTCCAAGGTTGATCAAATCTAAACTTTAATCAAATCCCAGGATGAAAAGGGCCCAAACACATAAAAGAAAGCAACAGTCGTCGCAGCTTTTCTAGACCTCTCTTCCCCACTCCCAACCCTCCAGGAAAAACGTTTGCCAGCCAAATTCAAATGCAGCCCGCTAACCAGGCCCCACTTCCCGGGCCCACATGCATACGCACCCCGCTACACGGGTACATGCCTCGGCCGCACGGAACAGAGTCGCACGTCGGCGGATACCACCCACCACCATCACTGACAGGTGAGACCACGAATCCCTGGCCCACCTTGCAGTGACTGGGTGTCTGAGCCGACACGGCGAGCCACGGGACACACACCCCGCGACACGAGACACAGCTGAAGGCTGCGCTCTCCCCTCCGCTCCCCAGGTCCGCCTTCGTCCTCCCCGTCCTAGCCTCTTCGGCTCTTCCCCACACCAACTCGCTCGCCGGCCAAGCGACCCTTCGCAGCCCCTCTCTCGCTGTCGGTGGGCCCCGCGGCGCCCGCTTTCCAGCCCTCCCCGCATTTAATCCTCGGCGTCCGTGCTCTCCCCCTCTCCGCGCTCACGCCCCGCCCGTGAATCGTGATCTCACCGTCTCCCTCCCTCTCTCCCTCTCTGTCGCACCGCACGAGCCCCGTGTGGTGGTGGTGGGAGTGGGAGTGGGGGGTGCTAAATGGCGAGCAGTGGCGGGGTGAGGAACGGGGTGGGGCCAAGGATGAGCGCGAAGCCGGACCGGCAGGGCTTCAGCGCCACGCCCAAGACGGCTGCGGGGAAGCAACGCCTCTCCTCCTCGGCGGCGGCGGCGGGCGGCGCGTACCGGCGCACCAGCTCGGGCCCGCTCCCCAGCCGCGCGGCGTCGGATGGAGGTGGGTTCGTGTGGTTCGCTCTTGCTCTGCCTCCGGTCGTGCGGAGTGGGATCCGGATTTGGATTTTGGTCCTGCGGGGTTTGGGTGGGTTTGTGGATGGATTCGGAGCTGCTCTGATCTGCATTTCGATAACTTGGCCTGCTTCGCTGTTTCCGAGTCGCTGCTGTGCTCAATCTGCTGCTTGAACTCACGCGGTTTTGTGCGGATTTTTACTCTTTTCATTCACGTACGTAAATTTAGCTGCGGTTCGCTAGTACCATTTTGATTGCTAATGTTTTGCTATAGCGCGATCGGTCTGTCGAGTTCATCCAGATTCTGGGCTTGCTAGTTGTGCGATTTGCTTGTGTTGGTGCAAGTGTGTAACGTATGTGCAGAGCAAGCGCACATTTCGGAACTGACGTTGTGCGTTTCATTATTAGGTATAAACGTCGTTATTCAGCTACCGCTTGATTTCTTTTTTCTAGATACGAATGGCGATTTGGTTGACTCGGCAGGGCGTTGGTGTATTGTTTTGGTCACGGCACGATCGTGTGTTTCATATCTTTGTTGTTGCATCCATGTCGTGATGACCACGAGCTCCCTGCACCCCACCACAACCAACCATCTCACTTTAAGCTGCAAAACTGATACAGCTGTTGAGAATAATGAAGAGCCACAGTTGGTAAATGTGTCTTCTTTCTGGCTCAGTACGCATTTCGTGGTTAGTTTACCTTGGAGAGGATGACACCCAAGTAAATGTTACTATGTGTAGAGTTAGTGAGCTACAATTTGTATTAAGACAGCTCAGTCCTCTTCCATGTAAGAGACTCTCCTAAATTCATATGAAACCAGTAGCTGTAACACTCTCTTAATATACCGGATGTGGATTTCCAGTCCCAGTGAATTTCTTATCAGCTAAGGTGAAGTACATGTGGAAAATGACTCGCTTTTTTGGATATCGTTTAAATTTTCTCCTGAGTTTGCTTTGGATAATTCTATGCGGCGTTTTGAAAGTTCCTGTTCTACTATGTTTGGTCGTTCTCTTGTGTTCTGTCACTTTGTCATGCCTGTGAGATTGTGCACGGCTGTTTAAGTACTTAACTCTACTACCATGCCTGGAAAAGTACCCTGTGGAAAGTTGCTTTATGGTAGTCGATGTTTCAGAAGAACTACTCGTCAGTAATGTTATTGAGTAGTAGTTTACACTGTCTTTTTTTATGCCTACTTTGCTTTACTATATGCTGTGATATGATTATTCCTATCTGAGTCTTCTTTAATCTACCCAATAGAAAAATTATTACAAAAAAGATCGAATTCCTAGTAACTCTTCTATTGGGTTGATTAAATTGTCTCATTTCTTAGATTTTTTTTTACTGCGCGCCAACCGCCAAGTGTACAAATTGTCTCCCATTGTTGGTCCGTGGCAACTCTGCTAGTACATAAGCTATTAAATATTTAAATTGCATCTTGCAATGTTGATAACTACTCTGCTAGTGCATAGACAGTTAAATTTCATATTGCAATATTTTTAGCTCCATGCTGTGCGCAACTACTTCCTAATATGATGGTTCCAAATATTTGAGGATTGAATTGTTGGTTGGCATTATGTGTAATGTTGAAATTATAAAGAACTCTCTGTTCTTGTTTTGCTTTCTGGCAATTTTGATTTGATCGAGTATCTATATTTTTGCTCAACTGAAGAATCTATTCCTCCCTGGTCCTTGCAGTTTCTAGTAGAGTAAGGGTTGCTGTAAGGCTTAGGCCTAGGAATGCAGAAGAGTTGGCGGCAGATGCAGATTTCGGTGATTGTGTTGAACTTCAGCCAGAGGTGTAGCTTGGTTTCTCTTTAGCATGCTTTGACAATTTTTTTTTTGTTGTCTAACCTGATGGAAATTTGTTATGAAGCTCAAAAGGTTAAAGCTTCGTAAAAATAATTGGGAGTCAGAAACATACGAATTCGATGAAGTTCTCACAGAGTTTTCTTCACAAAAGCGAGTGTATGAAGTTGTTGCGAAACCAGTTGTGGAGGTATATGAATCTCGAGCTTTTATCGCAACTTTTGGAGTTAATTATTTTGACCTTTCTGTTTTTTTTCTCATTTCAAGGTCGTCATAATAGGTTATATGATTCATTTACTGAGTAATACATATGATGTAGCGACACAACTTTGCGTATTGAATGCTGCTGATCTTTTTAATGTCCCTTTTTTCCTTTTTGTGGTGATAAGGTTAATTGCCTAGATTTTGTCTTGAAAGTACAGCATCTTTTATAGCTTATACTTGATCTGTTCATTTTTAGTAGGCGTATTAGGATTTTCTTTAGAGGTACACTCTGGTGCAAGCGGTAGAGTCTTACCGCCTGTGACCGGAAGGTCCCGGGTTCGAGTCGCGGTCTCCTCGCATTGCACAGGCGAGGGTAAGGCTTGCCACTGACACCCTTCCCCAGACCCCGCACAGAGCGAGAGCTCTCTGCACTGGGTACGCGCTTTTTTTTTTTACACTTTGACCATCAGTTTCTCTTATAATATATCATTGGTTGCTACAAAATCAATGCCATATTAAAAGATCTTTGAAATACAAATCTATTCATATAACTTTTATACACTAAGCATGCATATGATTTCACTGGCTGTTGGTCAACATTTTATGAAGTTTGACCTTTTAAAATCCTAATACATGGATGGAGTAGTTGACAAGAAAGGACAAAAGCAACTGTTCAGCCCCTTTAATATTTTGTTCTGGCCATTACTGATAGTTGATTACTTTTATGTGTTACTTCCTTAGCAATGTCTATACCATTGTAGAATTCTATGTGTTTTGCAGAGTGTTATGGAGGGATATAATGGTACAGTTATGGCATATGGCCAGACTGGTACTGGGAAAACTTTTACACTGGGAAGACTTGGTGAAGAAGACACTGCTGCTAGGGGAATCATGGTTCGTGCAATGGAGGACATTCTAGCAGACATAACACATGGGACTGATTCTGTCTCAGTATCATATATTCAGGTTTGTGATGGTGGGCCTTTTGTGGCTGTGGCTGTATCTATTAATCTAGTGCCTTTGGGATGTTGTAACAATGTATACTGGATGGTTGTTACAGTTGTACATGGAGATGATACAAGATCTCCTTGATCCTGTAAATGATAATATAGCCATTGTAGAAGACCCAAGGACTGGGGATGTTTCATTGCCTGGAGCCACAGTAGTTGAAGTTAGAGATCAAAAAAGCTTTGTGGACCTTCTAAGGGTGGGTGAGGCTCATCGTGTTGCTGCAAATACAAAGTTAAACACCGAATCATCTCGAAGTCATGCGATCCTCATGGTATGATTATGTTTCTTGAGTTTGTTTACCTATCTGTACGCCTTTACAACTATAGTATTTCTGGTAAATGATATCGTGAAATGAAATCCCTTGTGAAGGTGAATGTCAGGAGGTCTGTAAAAGGTAGAACTGAAATGGATGTCAGCATTTCTGGTGAAAATGGACATTCATCGTCCATGATGGGGTCTTTGAGACCGCCTATTGTTAGGAAAAGTAAGCTTGTAGTTGTCGACTTGGCTGGATCAGAGCGCATAGACAAGTCAGGTGAGTCTTCTTTTCTCAATGGTATACACTTGACCTGACCTTTCATGTGTGTGTCCACATAATGGTCTCTTGTAATTTGCAACCGTATAATATTGTGACTTAATATTTGCAGGAAGTGAGGGTCATACGTTAGAAGAGGCAAAGTCTATCAACTTGTCCTTAAGTGCTCTGGGAAAATGCATCAATGCACTTGCTGAAAGCAGTCCTCATGTACCTGTTCGTGATTCTAAGCTTACAAGATTGCTTAAAGATTCATTTGGAGGTAAGATGTGTTATGCTCTTTATACTTCTTTTACAGTAATAATAAGATGATTATTGCACGTCTGGCTCCAGAAAGAATAAATGTGCTATACTTAATGGTCAATTCTAAAGGGCACTGTTCCATTTTTCTTCATGCTTATTCTAGAAGAGCAATTAAACCTGCAAAGTAAGTTAAAAAAAGAAAATTTGTGCGCCCTAAATTTAGCTTCAATGTGTTCCATGCTAACACCCAGTTGAATGGTGATGCCACTTGTTTACCTCATTGGAACAAGTGTTATTGTTGCATATGAATAGCCACACAATAATGCAGGTTCATTTTAGTATCAGCATACTGAAATGTAGGCGTGAGTTCTTGTCACAGTACCCCAAAAATTAATTTCTAGTTTTCCCAAAAGAAGAAGGGTAGAAACTAGAAAGGAGGTATGTGTTAATTATTTGACCTTTTCAACCATATATTAATGCAGTACATCATGGTTTGTAGATTATCATACACTAGTAAGCAGTGAATGGGTGTGATGCAGAAGAGGACTACTGTGAAACAGTGAAAGTACTTCATTCTTTCTTTTCAGAAAAGTACTCATCCTACTATTCTGTACTAAAAAGAATCTTGTAATAACATTTGGAAAGAACATGTACAAAACTTTTGATTGATATTCTCCTGAAATTTGACAATGGCATGAGGTGCTGTGGAATTTTGTACAGTAAAAATGACATTATGGCATTGACATTTCCACAAAATGTTGCCCGTCACTTTTATTTGCTCTAATCAAGGTCATCCTGGTGTTAAATCTCATAGGTACTGCAAGAACATCATTGGTTGTGACAATTGGTCCATCACCAAGACATCGGGGGGAAACTACCAGTACAATAATGTTTGGCCAAAGGGTACATCCTCTGCGTACATTTTGATGGTTTTATAATCTTTCATCTTCAAGTTGTGAAGTAGTGACAATTTCTAGTTTTGCAGAATCGGTGAATAGTTGCAAGTTTTTTCATTAATTAGGTGATTAATATTTTATTTGTGTCATGTCTAGGCAATGAAAGTTGAGAACATGGTGAAATTGAAGGAAGAGTTCGATTACAAGAGCTTATGTAGGAGACTTGATATTGAATTGGATAAATTGATTGCAGAAAATGAAAGGCAGAGGAAATATTTTGATGATGAAGTTGAGAGAATAAGAGCTGAAGCTCAATGCCGCATTGCTGAGGCTGAAAGGGAATGCAAAATCACATTAGAGGTTTGTTTACCGTCGTCATATTCTACTATACCTTGATATTTTGTGTAGACTAATTAGCCCTGTCACTTTATCCTTGGATATTGACGCCACTTTTCTTTATAATTTGCTGTCCACAAGCTAATATAAGTTGTGATCCAAACTGAATTTATTTAGATCGGCAAATCTGTATGTTTATGATCAATATGGGTGTATGCGTCTATGGGTAACCTACTGTTTCCTCCAAAAAAACAAGTCAAAAGAAAAAGAATAGGAAAAGTGTCAGTATGTTTTTATATCCTTTTGTTGATTATTCAGCTGCAATATTGGTTCCTTTGCTTGCCATTTGTTGTTTTGAAGTGAACTATGTTAATATGTAAAGGTTCAGATGTTTCTGTGTTAATCTCACACATTGCTTGCATATGCTTATATCCTAATCCTAATAGGATAGGAAGTGTATCTCTTCAGTTTAGACTTTAGAGCTTCCTAAATTAATTGCTATCTCTCTATCATGCTTGATTTATGCTATGTTGATCAGTTTTCCTTTTCATGCAGAACGAGAAAATGAAGTATCACCAAGAATACTTAGACTCAATAAGAATAATGGAGGAGAAGTGGAAAGTACATCAACAATCACCCAAGAAACAAGTACACACCTAATTGAGCTTTACAAATTAGTGAATCTCATGCTATTTGGGAAATTCTAAATGTGATTTCTTTCTCCTTCCACATTGTAGAATAAAGAGGCTGAGTCTACATCCAATAATACCGGAGAAGTGCATAACTTACTGCAGAATGAGAAAATGCTACGTCAATCGGCTGAAGATGAGGCCAGTGACCTCAAGAATCAAGTATCACACTGGAAAAAGCTGGAGGTGTTGTTAGCTTAAAACCTTTTCTTTTTGTGTCAAATTATTGCCTCAGTGTCCTGATAGCTAAGTGGCTTCCCTCGCTCATCTTGTAGGCTACAGCTACAGCTGAGGTAGTAAAACTCCGGAAAATGCTAGATGCTGAAGCTAGTCAGAAAGAGAAACTTGAAGAAGAAATAGATGTTTTGAGAAGTCAGTTATTGCAGATGAGTATGGAAGCTGATGAGGTAGTTGTTACTATCATTGTCAAGGATTTTTTTCCTGGGGGGAGCTGCTTTATCTATTTGTAACTTATTTCTATTTCTGACTTGAACTGTGATGCTACCCTAACATAATCGGTCTGTTTTCTCTTCATTCCGATTTGGTCACATCAGACAAGGAGGAGTCTTGATAAAGGAGATGGGCCAGGAAAAATATTTCCTGGTTTAGATTCATTGGTGTCTCAGACTCGAGGTTCGCAACCCAGAGAGCAGAGCAATGGACCAAAGCAACCAATTGCCAAACTCTTTGAACAAGGTATTTGTTCCTTATGTATTCTCTCACAGTTTCTACTTGATCTGCCTATTTCCTGTAACTCTGTAAGCAATCCCCAAAAGTAAAAGTAAACTAATTGTTAGGCTTAAGAGTTAATTTTAGTGATTGCCGAACTCCTTAGATACAATAAATGGTGTGCAAAAGGATTTATTGTGCTAGCAATTTCAATTTTCTCACAAACTAAAATAATACCTGTCCATCTGTGCTACTTCTTGTAGCGTATTTGAATGCAAAGATACTTGTGAAGATGCACTGTTTATAACAATATGAAATATGATGAACCAATTTTCTCACAAGTTAAAATACTACCTGTCCCACTGTGCTACCTTTTTTTGTAACGTATTTGGATGCAAATATACTTGTGTAGACATGCTATTGATAAAAATATGAAATACGAGGAATGGTAAGATCACTGGGTTTAAGATGACATCGTGAAAATGTCAGACGATAGACTTAAGATAGAATTTTGTGAAGCACCCTATCCCTTGTTTGCAGCCTTACCATCCCAACTATTGATATCAAAATATATGGTGCTTAAAATTTCTCACTCTATTTCAGTTGGGTTAAAAAAGATATTGTCATTGCTTGAATCTGAAGAACCTGATGTCCGTGTTCACGCAGTGAAAGTTGTTGCAAATCTGGCAGCTGAAGGTGAGTGCTACTTGTTCATAATTGTTTTGTTTGTCCATGGAGTTTGCTACCTGAGCATGTTTTCCGGCCACAGGCATAACTTTTAAGCAGCACCCAGCCGCTTCATTGAGTTCATTCTATGTGTAAAGTTTGTGTTTTATATCCTATGCGTGCATATAAGTATATAACTATTTTGGATTGGATGCATACCAATGAAGCATTATTATTCCCAACATATTTTGTAGTAAAACATCATTTCTCTATATGCATGCAATGGACTCCTCACTCCTGGATTTTTAAAGTTTTACATTGAAGCATACTCCTGTAATAGTTATGCACAAATGACCCATAAAGATTCTTAGCTATATCTGGGGTACTTGATTTTACTTGATGGGCTGACAGCATTGTGTCTTTAAAGGTATTTCATATCATCAATTAACTACCCTCAACCTTGTGTACTTCAGAGGCAAATCAGGAAAAGATTGTAGAAGCAGGTGGCCTCACTTCCCTCCTTACGCTACTTAGGAGCTCTGAGGATGAGACAATTCGTAGGGTAGCAGCAGGAGCAATTGCTAATCTTGCAATGAATGGTCAGTGGGCCAGTACTGTTTTGTAATTCATGACAGAGATCCTTTGATAGTGAGCTTCTCTCAGTGGTAGAAATTGGTCTCATTATCTTTTTTATAATAATTTATACGTGCAGAAACAAATCAAGATCTTATCATGGATCAAGGAGGTGTAACCTTGTTGTCTATGACAGCATCTGATGCAGAGGATCCACAAACTCTTAGAATGGTGGCTGGAGCAATAGCTAACCTTTGTGGCAATGGTAACTCTGAATTTTTGCTTGTTATGCAAGGGTTTGGTCTACTGCAAGATAGTAATGCACTGAATGGTATACATCAGAAATCTAATACTTTGGATGAGCCAATTATAGGTTGTGGCCGCTGCCCATATAAACATTTAGATTCCTTCTTTTCATGTTAACAGAAAATATATATACGAGTCTTGATTCTTAAAGTTCAGTTAGATCGACAGAACTTGTGTCAATCTTACAGGTCATTGGCCAAAATGTAGGCCCCAGCATTATTTTAGCCAACCCTAGAGTATATATATGAACATAAGATGAATTAGATGATCATCTTCTATCCACGTGCTTATATCTAAATACTAAGCTCGGGACTGAAAGGCTCTGTTGTTGTTGTTGTTGTTGTTATATATCCAAAAACTAACCTTTTGTTTATAAGCAGACAAACTGCAAACACGGTTGCGGGGGGAAGGTGGAATTAAAGCATTGCTTGGGATGGTTAGGTGTGGGCACCCTGATGTTCTTGCTCAAGTTGCACGTGGCATTGCAAATTTTGCAAAATGTGAATCTAGAGCAGCTACTCAAGGTAATGTATTTATGCTTGTACAATGTGGTTGTTTTCTTTATTAGGGTGATTGCATGCAGTTTGGTTTGAACAGGGAGCATACTGCAAAATACAAATCTTAGCATTTGTGACAGATTTTCCAGTATTAATAACTCATGAGAAGTGTTTTATAACATGAACTTATCAATGCACAACTAAACTGGCTTGAAAAAAAGCACAAGTAAAATGAAATTTGAAAACTCAATGCTTTGAGGCGATACTCTGAATTTCCTGTTGTCCTATTCTCAGTATTAGAATGCTTGATGTGAAATTTTAAGAATGACATGCCTTTTCATGTTTGATATAATTTGGAGAAATATACTTGTGTGCTATTGAGAAGAATGGTAGATGGATCCTTAAAGCAGTCCAATGCATTTGTGTTGTTGTAAGTGGCCTTTTGCTCCTTTTTTCAGGAAATAAGGTGGGAAAATCACTATTAATCGATGATGGATCACTTCCTTGGATTGTAAAAAATGCTAATAATGAAGCTGCCCCAATTAGGCGGCACATTGAGCTTGCACTGTGTCATTTGGCACAACATGGTATCCTTCCCATCATCCTTCCTTTTATTGAGCGTGCACACACACAATACTATATGCGTAAGTTTGAATTTGTTCTTTTTCGCAGAAGTAAATTCAAAAGACATTATCAACGAAGGTGCCCTATGGGAACTTGTTCGGATTTCAAGGGACTGTTCTCGAGAAGATATAAGGAGATTGGCATATCGGACAGTGACATCCAGCCCCACTCTTCAAGCAGAGATAAGGAGATTGGGAATAAAAATGTGATAACAGAACAAAGTGCAGCTGGGGCTCAGACGTTTCATTTCTCGTGCATATATAGAGGTGCCCATTGCTCTGAGTGCTGGTAATCAAGCACATCTTCCCTTGGTTTACCTGATTTTGGCAGGCATACACGGGCAGGCACCGCACTGACTAATCAGAAGAGGCAATGGCCTTTGCACCAACTTTCTCCTCGAGAGTTCATTTTTCTTTGTTTTGAGGGGGCAGTTGAAAATCTGGACAGCACTAGCAATTCATTTATTTGTAATAATCCTAGCATAGCAGATGTTACCTACCCAATGCAGCGTTTGTAAAGTTTTTGCTGTAAAAATATCAAGGCCAAAAGGAGTGTTTTCGCAGTTTGAAGTATACCTACAAGGTTTAACTTTATTTATATACTGCAGATGAATCATATTTGCTAACTGTGATTTTATTTCTTTCTTAAGCGTTGACACTGCCATTTCTTTTACCATATCTGCTCTCAGATCATCTTTGTGAGGCACAACTTTTGGAATCCTAAGCGACACTAGATTTTTTATATACATATTTAAGTCTTTTTAATTAATATGTTTTAAATTAACCTAGATCTAACCCTCACCTTGCACAATAGGATAACACTATCACGATATATGTAATGGCGCGACAAAGAGGGTGCCGTGGCGGCAGCATCTACCGCACAACGCCTACATGGCGTCCTTGTGGGCTGTCAACAGCTTATGCCAAGTTGGGTTTATATGGGCATGCTGCATTTAGAGATACTAGTATAGTGTCTGGGCTAACGTCACGGCTTCATATTCATATCAGGATACGAATAAAAACAATCAAACAACGATATTTTTTTATACACACAATTATATATGACATTGCATATAATCCAGTAAGCATAACAAGACATAATAAGTCATGGCTCACCTGAACCATCTAACTTATGATTTGCTTAAGTAGGTCTTGGAGTTCTCCCGTGCTAAAACTACAGTGGCGTCTAGAAAAAATAAATAAATCATAAAATTAAAATGAAACATAAAACTAAAAAATCATAAAACTAACGTCATGGAACCTTTTCAGCCTTAGGCAGCCTCTGTATTCAGGACAGGTACAAGTGCCACCAAGGAATTTCGGTAATTCACTGAGCATTTTTTTTACAAGCATTGACGACAAACTTTTGGTAGAGTCTGGAGGTGCAACAAATTAACCCAACAAATTACTCGGCCACTAACCTCCACAATCGCATCAGTGCCATACTCCCTCCCCCACTAAAGCATATCAATCCACATTTGATTTGCTTTGCTGATATCAAATTTCCTTGCTTTCAGAAATCTACAGATCAGATTTAGCTGGATATATATAGCTCAGCATTATATGATAGTCATCATGTCTTGCAGGCAACAGCTCATCCAAGGGCAGTGCTTGTCTAAATGCTTCAACAACTTGTAGCTCCTCTAGATCGCGCACATCCTTGGTCTCCTGTTAGGTGAGGCGACACCCCTGCGCCTAGCGCATAAGCGCGCCCAGGTGAGCGCCTAGGAGCGCCTTTTTGAACATTGTACACACCTAAATCAGAAGTTTAGAAGTGACAGAGTAAGCTCAGTGAAGAACATGGATCAACATACACTGGAGCTTAAAATAAAAAAGACTAATATTCATCAAGTGCAAAAACTAAAATCCTTCACATTAAGCATTATGGGAGCAAACATAAAAAAATAAACGGACCATGTCAAATAACAAAGGGATCAATATCTTATTCAAAAACTAAAATCCTTCACACCTCATAATCTCATTAATAATTAACAGCACAAATGCATTGCATTGTCTTAGTTCAGCAGGAAATGTCAGAGTACATTGCATCCGAACCTGTTCATTGGCTGGCTGCTTACAAACGCCAGCCCACTGCTTGCAAACGGCGCTGCATGAGGCAGCAGCTGCTGCAGCAAGGCGATGCGTGAGCGGTAGCACCACATCCAAGACCATGAGGTTGAACTAATCATAGTTAATTGCTTCAAACATTCCTTGATTATCTGAAAATTCAAAAAAATAACAATTAACCAAAGACATGTTATTTCATTTCATTCAAATCATTAAAGTGAGTGCGGCTTTGGTTTACCTTCAAAACAATGGCTCCACCTGTGGAGTACCCAAATAAGAAGCACGTGGCAAACCACAGTTTTCCTCCAGCTTAAAATTTATATCCATGCATATATTCTGTATGTATGAAACAGTAACAAATCACCAACAGTAGCATATATTCTCTATGTTTATCTGCTTTGCCACAAAGGATGACACCTAAACCACAAGGAGATAATAAGACCTGACACAGCAGTAAGGAGCGTATATAAAATACCGACTGTTTCAAGTGTGGACAATGTTTGTTCCAATTTTCACTTGGAGGACCCCTGAAAACCGAATCACAGAACTAAACATGCCCACGACATTGTTCATCAATGATGGCGTCTCTTTAGATTGCTCATCAGCATCTCCAAATATCCTCTGCAAATTATAGTAGTGTTAGTCTTTTTAAAATTGTAAGTTTGGGGAAAATACAAACGTTATTGCTGAAATATAGGCTACAGCAGCATATGTAGTCAAGCATCTTCCTACCAACAGTAGACACATGTCTTTTTGTAATTAAAAAAGTGACGTTATACAACTTGAGTAGCAGCATATGTAATCAAGCATCTTCCTACCAATAGTAGGCACATGTCTTTTTGTAATTAAAAAAGTGACGTTCTACAACTTGAGTTAAATGTCAGTAGCTAGTTTTAGCTGATTCCTGATTAATGTGCACGCAGCCACAACATACTGTCTAGATACTGACAAATGCTGACTATTGGATGATTTGTACTTATAGCTGCTTCATGATTTCACTCGCTTGTTCAGTAGTGCAAAGATTCAATTGAACACAATTATGACTACATTCAGTAAAGAATAGACGACGTTCAGTCAAGCAGCAGCAGAAACAAATAAGTTGTTTTGCTTCTCTGAAACATGACGCGACCTTGTTTGTTACACGAGAGAGAAGTACCGTGGAAGAAAATACCTTGTGTCCATTCCATCGAACATATTGACTGCATCATCTGTAGAAGCGTCCATTGATGCTTGCATAGTTGCATTGGCCTCAATGGACACCGGCAACAGCAAGCAAACGGTAGCAGGTAGGGCAGGATGTTGCATATGACCCTTTCCTCCTCGGCTTTCAGAGCTCTGGAAGCGTAGGCTATGGGCGGAGCCTGGCACGGCTCATGCAGGAAGTGTTGCAGGAGAGGACTCTCGCTTCCTCGCCTCCAACCCGGCTTGAGATGCTCCTTCATGGAGGACGCTGCAGATCTGGGAGAGGGAGAAACAGTGAGGGAGAGGGACAGGGAGAGGAGAGTGAGGGGGTGCTTACCTCGGCTGGGGTTGAGCACGGTGGCCAGCGGACCCCGGCCGCATCACGCGAGGATCCTGCCTGGCTGCCTCACGCCTGTACTGGTGCCAGGGCGGGCGTGGCAGGAGCCGTGGGCAACGACGCCAAGGCGGCATCGCGGGCGGCGCCTCCGCGTCTGGAGCCTGAGCCGTCGGCGCCACCTTCGTGTCTGGGGTTCGTCCGTGGGGGAGAGGAGAGGAGTCGCGAGCCGCCGCCGCCTCCGTCTGGGGTTTCGTCCGTGGGGGAGAGGGGGGGAGTCGCGCGTCCGTCTGGGGTGTGCGCGAGATGGGATGAGAGCGATGAGGTTTGGTCCAATGTGGTCCGTTGGATCTGAGTGAGTGAGAGAAAGTAGAGCCTGGAGTGGATCTCGTCTCTTCGTTTTATAGGCTGATTGGTTCTGGGTGCAGTTTTTTAGGTGCACGTGGAAGAGTTCATGATTCCGGGGGACAGTTTCCGAGGTAGCTGCAGGAAAGTTTACTACTGATGCATTATAAGTGGTAGAGATTTTTCTAGATATATACACCTCCTGTTTCAACCGAAAGTCGTTTTGGTTTTTCTAGGTATATAATTTTATCTAGACATACATATCTAGACATACATATTTAGATGCATAATTTTTACAATGTATTTAAAAAAGCTAGAACAACTTATAATTTAGAACGGAGAGAGTAATAAAAATAATATATCTAAAAAAACCAAAATATCTTATAATTTGAAACAGATAGTGTGCAACAATAAAACTTATAAGCTGCTTATAGACAATATAAGCTAGAACTAGAACCCAAACGCTATGTTTTTTTAGCTTTTTCTGGCCAAATGCTACGGTTTTTTTTTTATAGTTTTTTCTGGCCATGTTTCTTCCCACGCCCCTTATTTATTCTAAAACGTAGAAGCTAGACCAATTTATTTTGGCCAACCTTTTCATTCATTTGTGCAACTTCTTAGAGAACCTTTTTTCTGACTGCTCATGGCCTATATCCCTCAAACGTCGCAGCTTCTTAGAGCATGATTTTTTAAAAAAATATAAAACTAGTTTCATATTGTTCTGAGTTAAAACAATTTTTCTATGACTTTTCTAATGTTAAATATGATTTTAGTATTTTGAATACATATTTTCTAGAAAAATATTTAAATATTTCTTAAAAAATTATTTCTCTAATTTTTTGTAAAGTTTAATTGACCTCTCCGAACTATCACGAAAGTATGATGTACCTCTCTTGTGGGTGACATGGCACCATGTAAGAAACGACTGTTGTGGATAGGTCATCTAAAACTGTTTGCAAAATCGCTGACGGAGATAAATTGGGCGGTTAAAAATCTGTTTTTTCTGTTGGGAAAGATAAATTGGAATCGTGCAATAGTTGAGGTAGGTATATCTGACTTTTTCCATGGCTTATCCCTACACCTCAGGCCCGATACCTGCCTTTCGGCCCATGACACACGACACAGCCCATACACACACCAGGGATCCTTCTTCTCGGGCGCGGCGGCGCGGAGAGAGGTTGCACGAGTACCTAAACAAGCGAGCTGTCTCGTGTTTGAGTTTGCGTTTCGCGAGCCCGATCTCTCGCCAAACCCTAGCCCCCCATCCGCCGTCTTCCTCTGCTAACCGCCGGCGATGGCTGGCCCCCACCGTCAGGTCACCGGCACTCATCTATATTCTGAGCGGATTAGGCTTCCGTTCGGCGACAATGGTGAAGGTCTTTCGCAACGAGGAAGGTCGATACTACTGAAAGGTCCTAATGGCTAGGGGGGTTGAATAGCCTATTAAAAATTTCTACAACAACACTAAGACAAATGATTAGTCAATAAGATGGCGAAGCGAATTTTGCGCTAGCACTATACTTGGGGTTGCAAGCCACCTACCCAATTGTATTTTCTATGATCTCTAGTATATCACAACAAGGCTATGTCTCTAATTTACACCTATGTGATCAATCTAGCAAGAGTGATACAGTTAAGTACTACACTATCTAGTCTTGACTACCACAAGCTCTATACAAATGAATGTACAATGAAATACAAGAGAGTGGTAGAGAGGTATACCGCCGTGGCAAGTGATCAATCAATGAATACCAATGAATACCAAGGAGACAATCAAGGCACAATGATTTTTCCTCCGAGGGTCACTTGCTTGCCGGCAAGCTAGTCCCCGTTGTGGCGATTCATTCACATGGAGATTCACGCGCTAATTGGCATCACATGCCAAACCCTCAATACGGTGCCACACAACCAACACAAGATGAGGATCACACAAGTCACGAGCAATTTATTAGAGTACCTTTTGGCTCTCCGCCGGGGAAAGGTCAAGAACCCCTCACAATCACCATTATCGGAGCCGGAGACAATCACCAACCTCCGCTCAACGATCCTTGCTACTCCAAGCCATCTAGGTGGCGGCAATCACCAAGAGTAACAAGCCAAACCCGCTGAAAGGTCCTAATGGCTAGAGGGGGGGTGAATAGCCTAATAAAATTTCTTCAACAACACTTAACAAAAAGAATTCGACAATTATGAGGCGAAGCAAGTTTTGCGCTAGCCTACCAAAATGCAAGCCACCTACCACAATTCTAGTTTAGATGGAGTATATCCACACAATAGCTATATCACTACACTAAGTTAGTGTGCTCTCAAAGGCTAACTAAAGAGCCACACTAACCAAACTAACAAGCTCTCACAACTAGTTACACTAAAGAGCTTGACAACTAGTTTACGGTAATGTAAAGAGTAGGCAAGAAGGTTATACCGCCGTGTAGATGTATGAACCAATCAATCACAAGTGTGGATAACAATGAAGACCAATCACCTCAGAATCAATGATGAACACAATGATTTTTTACCGAGGTTCACTTGCTTGTCGGCAAGCTAGTCCTCGTTGTGGCGATTCACTCACTTGGAGGTTCACGCGCTAATTGGCTTCACACGCCAAACCCTCAATAGAGTGCCGCACAACCAACACAAGATGAGGATCACACAAGCCATGAGCAATCCACTAGAGTACCTTTTGGCGCTTCGCCGGGGAAAGGTCAAGAACCCCTCACAATCACCACGATCGGAGCCGGAGACAATCACCACCCTCCGCTCAACGATCCTCGCTGCTCCAAGCCGTCTAGGTGGCGGCAACCACCAAGAGTAACAAGCGAATCCCGCAGCGAAACACGAACACCAAGTGCCTCTAGATGCAAACACTCAAGCAATGCACTTGGATTCTCTCCCAATCTCACAAAGATGTTTAATCTATGATGGAAATGAGTGGGAGGGCTTTAGCTAAGCTCACAGGGTTGCTATGTCAATGCAAATGGCCAAGAGAGAGAGCTTGAGCTGGCCATGGGGCTATAAATAGAGCCCCAATGAAATAGAGCCGTTGTACCCCTTCACTGGGCTGAACACGGGCTGACCGGACGCTCCGGTCATATTGACCGGACGCTGGACCTCAGCGTCCGGTCGTGCGATGAACGCCACGAGTCATTGGCTTCAAACGCCGATCGCCCGATTTCAACGGCTACGTAGTTGACCGGACGCTCCGGTAAAACTGACCGGACGCTGATGCCCCAGCGTCCGGTCATTTCCAGTAAGCTCCCCGAGGCGTATTTCTTCGACCGGATGCGTCTGGTCCACCTTGACCGGACATAGATCAGCGTCCGGTGCAATACCCTCGACACTGCGCAGACCCGTCAGTTTGACCGGACACACGCAGCCAGGGTCCGGTGCTTTCAGACCCAGCGTCCGGTCAGAAGACCGACGCCAGCGTCTTCGCGATCAACTCGTTTTCACTTCTAACTTCTTCACCCTTGCTCCAATGTGCCAACCACAAGAATTTGCATCCGGCGCAATAGAAAATAGGCATTCCATTTTCCCAAAAGCGCCAAATCCCGCCGAGCAAGCTCGGCGGGAGGGAAAGAGAGACCCAAACCTATCTCAACCCTGCAAACACCACCTCCTTTGTAAATGTGCCAACACCACCAAGTGTATCGCCTTGTGCACAAGTGTTAGCATATTTTCACAAACATTTTCAAGGGGTTTAGCACTCCACTAGATCCTAAATGCATATGCAATGAGTTAGAGCATCTAGTGGCACTTTGATAACCGTATTTCGATACGAGTTTCACCCCTCTTAATAGTACGGCTATCAATCCTAAATGTGATCACACTCTCTAAGTGTCTTGATCACCAAAACAAAATAGCTCTTACAAATTATACCTTTGACTTGAGCTTTTTGTTTCTCTCTTTCTTCTTTCCAAGTCGAAGCACTTGATCATCACCATGCCATCATCTTTATCATGCTATGATCTTTATTTGCTTCACCACTTGGAGTGTGCTACCTATCTCATGATCACTTGATAAACTAGGTTAGCACTTATGGTTTCATCAATTCACCAAAACCAAACTAGAGCTTTCAATCTCCCCCTTTTTGGTAACTGATGACAACCCTTATACAAAGATATGAATTAAAATTCAATTGAATCCATGTTGCTTGTCCAAGCATATTTACCATGTGTAAAAGAATATGGACAAGTTTCATGAACTCTATATGGTAGCAATTGCTATGCCTACATATGTGCTAAGTGTTTGGATTGAAGTTTGCACATATGCTTAGATAGGAAATATAGGAGACAATGTCTACCAAGTGATGCTAAGGTATAAAAGATGGACCTTTGAAGCGTGATACCAATCGGAGTGCACCAATATACCATCCTTAGCATCATGGTTAGCTTGATACCAATTGGAGACAACACTTGGAAATGAAATCATTAGATACCACTTGATAATACTAGAGAATGAAATCACTAGATGATCTATTCATGCTAATTTTTCATTTCATCATTCAAACCTACAACTAGCATACACCACACAAGCATGAATATTGAAATTTAAAACTTGTGCCATGCAAGCAAACATATGAAATGCACATTCAAATGCACCATACAAGTTCATGAGCTTGCTCCCCCTACTTGTGTGCTCAAGATTCTAATTGATTCCTTTCCTTTATCATATCTCTCTCCCTATGTCAAGTTCTCCTCCTTCGTTGTCTTTTCACCATCTTAGTACACTAATATCACTAATATTTTTGTTTCTCTCCCATGTACTTTTCTTTGTTATTTCTCCCATGTACTTT